AGGGGCCCTGTGCCTCTGTCCCTGTCCCCTCTCCCTTCAGTGATCGCGAGGGGCTGCAGGTGAGCAGGGCAGGGGCGGACTCTGCCCCCCAGGGCCTTGCACCCCTTTCCCAGCACCCACTACATGTCCAGGGCAGCCCCATGTCCCATAGGGAGGGCATCGGCCTGGGTGCTCCCTGCTCTGGCCCTTCAACAGGGCTGGGGGGGCTGGTGTGGGGCTGGGGCATCTCCTTGCACGCCAGCTCGGGCTGGCGTGGGTAACCCCTCTCCCCGCCTGGACCAGCGGGGGCAAAGCATGAAGTAGGTCTGGTTTTCAGCAGGGGCTGGGCCCCCCCGCGCCCCTGGGTCACCCCTGGGCTGGGTGCAGGTGCTGCTCTCGCTGTGGCAGGGCTTGGGGCTGAGCCTGCCAAGGGAAGGGCTCGCTCCGGGCTGGGGGGTGCTCCCTACGGGCAGGATGCTCCGTACCGGGGGGATGCTCCACACTAGGGATGCCCCGTGCCAGGGCTGCTCCATACCAGGAGGATGCTCTGTGCTGGGATTGCTCCACATTAGGGATGCTCCGTACCGGGGGGATGCTCCACACTAGGGATGCCCCGTGCCAGGGCTGCTCCATACCAGGAGGATGCTCTGTGCTGGGATTGCTCCACATTAGGGATGCTCCGTACCGGGATGATGCTCCGTACAGGGATGCTCCACGCTAGGGATGTTCTGTGCTGGGATGCCCCATACCAGTAGGATACTTTGTACCGGAGATGCTCCACATTAGGGATGCCCTGTACTGGGATGGTCTGTACCGGCAGGCTTCTCTGTGCCGGGGATGCTCCTCACTAGGGATGCCCTGTACCGGGATCCTCCATGCCCTGGGGATGCTCCATGCCCCGGGGATGCTCCGTGCCGGGAGGCTGCTCCGTACCAGGATGCTCCACACTAGGGCTGCCCTGTACTGGGATGCTCCATTCCGGGGATGCTCCGCACTAGGAATGCTCCATACCAGGAGGATGCTATGTACTGAGAGGCTGCTCTGTATTAGGGATGCTCCGTGCCGGGAGGCTGCTCCATATCAGGATGCCCTGTACCGGGGATGCTCTGTGCCGGGAGATGCTCCATGCCAGGGACACCACGTACCAGGGACACCCTGTACCGGGATGCTCCGTACCAGGGATGCCCCATACTGGGATGCTCTGTGTCAGGATGCTCCAGGCTGGGGATGCCTGTACCGGGATGCTCTGTGCCAGGGATGCTCTGCACTAGGAATGCTCCGTGCTGGGATGCCCCATACCGGGAGGATGCTCCGTGCCGGGGATGCTCCACGCTAGGGATGCCCCGTACCGGGATGCTCCGTGCCAGGAGGCTGCCCCGTACCTGGGATGCTCTGTGCCGGGATGCTCTATGCTGGCGATGCCCTGTACTGGGATGCTCCGTGCCGGGAGGCTGCTCCGTGCCGGGATGCCCTGTACCGGGCGGCTGCTCCGTGCCAGGGCTGCTCCGTGCCGGGACGCCCCGTACCGGGATGCTCCGTGCCGGCGCGGCGGCCGCCCGCTCCCGGCGGCTGCTTTAAGAGGAGGGACGGA